TTTTCTTCTTATTGTCTTCTTCTTCCATGTATTATCATAATCACGTTTATTATTAGTAGTATTATTAATACTATTAATTATTTATTTATGTATTTATTTTTGTCATTTTATTTAGTGTATTTTTCGTTTTAAAACACGATGGTGTCTCATTTTGCACAATTTTCTGCAGACATATTCAACCACTGCCACTAATAAATCATTCAAGCAGTTACTGTGGAGTAGAAAGATGGAAACTTACCGGAGTTGTCCACTCATACACGCCAGCAGCCTCTCTCTGATGGAGTCCGGGGTCGGCGAGGCCCGGAACCTGAGGATCTGGCTATCATAAGGCAGCTGTGGCGGGGACAGCCTCTCTGGCAAGCCAGGCAAAGTTCCGGAAATGAGAAACTTTCGCGTTACAATAACCTGGCCATTTGGTTTCGGCCGAGTCCCGCCTAGCTCTGAAACTAGCACTGGGGCGGTCAAGGGCATGGTTGTCCACTGGTCGCGTCAAACACAACTCTGATTGTACGTCTGTGAGTAGGAAAACAGCGTTCAGCGTTCACTGGCTCATCTCTCTGGAGTGACTGTTTCATATTTGTGCAAATAGGTCACATGATTTTAATTGTTTTGTTTAGTACAGGGTTTTACGGCGCTCACAACTGCATAAGGTCATACCAACAGTTACTGCAACAGACACCAGTAAACAAAGCATTGTTTTACCGCCACCAGATTTATAAGATGAAGGCAGATGCAAATGAAACTGCATAACAGGTCGGACGAACCAAATTTATGTGGATATTTAGATTTGTACTTGCCCATTATTCACTAAAATAAGGACATGTTTATAGTAATATACTGCTTGATATGTACAATCATCTTTGGCTTCAGCAGGATAATAATAGTATAATATAATAACTTCTAATTCAGTTCGATGGAACGATGTGATTGTTTCTTAATCGGATACTGAGATGCATCTCCGAGCCCTCAAATGTGCTATATAAACGACACTTGATTATTGCGAATTTTCGATTTGTTTTCTACCATAACCGCAAGAAAAAAAGAAGAAAAAAGAACGATATACAATTTTTACAGCGGCATACGACAACTGACAGTTAATTGCCATAGTTTGATTGTTCCATTTCACTTATCGAAGTAACCTGAATTTCCATCCTTTTCCACTGTCAAATTGATACGGAATCCATCACTAGAAGAATTGTTGCTTTGCACTTTTTCTGTATGAACAAAATCATTAGTCGTAACCACGCCATTAAACGATAGTCAAGAGAACCCTTCGAGACAATACATGAGACGTGCTCTGATTAAACTGCCCAAAAATACTGAGGGTGAGAGAGAGAGAGAGAGAGAGAGAGAGAGAGAGAGAGAGAGAGAGAGAGAGAGAGAGAGAGAAAGAGAGAGAGAGAGAAAGAGAGAGAGAGAGAGAGAGAGAGAGGGAGAGAGAGAGAGAGGGAGAGAGAGAGAGAGAGAGAGAGAGAGAGAGAGAGAGAGAGAGAGAGAGAGAGAGAGAGAGAGAGAGAGAGAGAGAGAGAGAGAGAGAGAGAGTTCGTGACTAACTCATTACTGGCGACGCAACTAAATGCTAGTTACACATCTTGCCTCGTCTAATCTCGCTGCTGTTTCTTAAGGCGAAGGAAAATACCCCTGTACCAGTAAAGCCGTCCTAGGACATAGCGACGTATCTGACAAATCGAGTTTTTTGTTGTTTTTGTGTGTTTTGTTTTGGTTTCATTGGTCCACTGCATTAGTCTTGTCCAGTATCCTTCTTGTATAAAAGTCAGGGCGACATATTTACGTCAGAAGTTGTATTTTTCAAACTAATAAATTTACGTTAGTGACAGCAGAGTGACGTAATAGTATGCTCAACCATGCACAACCACGTAAAGAAGTATTCATAACTTAAGACAGGCTGAGCGTTACGCGTTTTTAAACTGTTTTACTCAAAATAATGAAATGCCTAGTTACGTCGCTCTGCCTTTGGACGACCAATTATTACTCTAGTGATCCAGTTAGCTAGTAATCTGATCGATAGGGAGGAAATACCTGCAGTAAGCTATTTCAATTCACGTGAGCTACTCCGCTCAAAACCAACCACAGACTGAAATCACTTAGCACGTCGATACTGGGAAAGGCGAGCCCACTTCAGATCTGAGCTAATTCACTAATTCTCCCACAATGCCCTCTTGTCGTCTACAACAATAGCCTACAGGCGGCCATTCACTTGCGGCTTGCACAATAAATCCTCAACTCTAGAATTTCACTCCCCTGATCCGGGTATGGTCTACTGTATACCACAGGATTAAGCCGGAAATCTATCTCCACACGAAAGGATAAAAGAGAAAAAACGACAGCGAAATAGAACCGACGGCGAGACAAAGCAAAGTATGCCCGAAAAATTCCGAAACGACATCTATGCCAGCACATATACCTTTTGAAATTAGTTTCGGGTCTGCTGTTTCGAGTACACACCAGAGTGGTACACACACATTTCAAGACTTCGGACAAGACAAGGCACATCAAGCCTCTCTTGATAGTGACAACCGTGGCATGGGATACTGTTAAAGATCTGAATTATAACAGTCGTAAGCCATCGCGGACAAAGAATTGACTGCTTCAGTCATGAATGGAGATCACGATTTATCCTACTTATGAAATTGCCAATTGCAATCACTTGTTACTGTACTCACCAACTGTTAAACAAAATTAAATGGCAAACACTTTGCTGAATGATATATACCGCTTCAATCCACACTTCCGAAATGTCACATCGTCCATGTATTCACAATGATCAACAAGATAAAACTAAAATGTTGCTCTCGGTATTTTAGTCCCTTGTCGATGGCGTATTTGCTACCATTACAGCTTATCTTCCCATTTCGATCGACACGATCGAGAATTGCTTGACGAAGCTCTGTGTCTGTGGGCCATGTTTTGATCAAAGCGGGATTGCTTTTCACAAAGAGCGTACAGAACACGACCCCTATTCGTTTCTGGGCAGGTTGAACTTAAAACCTTCCCTATTTGAGAGAGAGAGAGAGAGAGAGAGAGAGAGAGAGAGAGAGAGAGAGAGAGAGAGAGAGAGAGAGAGAGAGAGAGAGAGAGAGAGAGAGAGAGCAGAAAGTATGGAATATATTATTGCATTTGCTTCTTGTGGCAAAGATTACATAGACACTTGAAAAGAAAACGATTACGCTAAACTCTTCTTTGAATTACTTCTACGGGGTGTTCTATCTATCTCACGCGGTCCAAAAGAATGAACGACTACATTTGTATTTGGTTACTTTCCTGAGAAGATATCATTGGGCCGAAGCGTTAAAGCCGAAACGAGGTCGTTAAATTGTGATTGAAAACTGCCTAAAAACGATAAAGCAATCCTTGTTATGCAGATCGACGGTAATTTCACTGTCAGCTAACGTCTGGAGCTCTTTGCGTGTTTGTTTGTCCCGCTATTCAAAGCTGTAGAATAGCATGCAGTGGGGTGACATTGCACCACGAACACATCGGGTCATATCGGATTAAAAACTCATCAAGAACGTCCTACATGAATCCCACGACCACTGCCAAGAAGTTTTCATTACAAAAATCTTGCGCTAATTGGGAAAGAGTGCTAGATTAAAAAATACGTTGATAAATCCGTTAATCTAAATCGTGTCGATGGGAGTGTAAAAATACTTACAATAAAAATAAATGAATCAAACAAGGCAGTGTTTTACCATAGCTTCCGAGTTCCGAGTTCAAATCAAAATCTGTTCATTATTGAGAACTAGACGTGCTCTTTGGCACAAGCTATTGGTTGTAAATGTTTAGTATTCCTATTGATACGATTAAACTTATTTAGGAGGAAGTTTGCCTAGATACTACCTGTCACGGCCAACCCTGGTACAATAGCAGAAGGAAGGATATACAAATAATATTAAAAGAATTACCCCCTTTGCTTGGCAATCGAACGCGCGTTCCCTGCGTGTAACGACACAATTTAGATCCCATAATTTATCACATTTGAATACACAGCCAACACATTCCACCGCAAAATCCCAAAGAAGAAATTTAACAAAATGACGTAAAATAAACGATAGCTCTAGAACAGATTAACGGACAAATACATTTTAATGATAAAAAAGCAAGATGAATAAAGACAAAAGTAACGCAAGAACGTTAACTAAGTACAGTAACTACCCTGCACGAGTCGTGTCTGCGAGACAAGGAAACCGATCACTCAATAACGAATTTCCCTGGACACCCATTTCGAGAACTCCCTCTTTCTATCCACATCTCCCATTCGTGCCAGAAGTAATCAGCGGGTATATTGTCTGTCGGAAATACACGTAAGCCTACTTGGCAAACCATTCCAAAGAATACGGTAATAATAGAAGACGAGTTGGTGTTTACCACGCTACACAAAAAGTAAATTTGGGCTCCCTATTCTGAACCTACTTGACCTACTGCGCACATCCAGGGTCTCCACTATGTGTGTGCCACATTTTGTTTTTGTTTGTTTTTGTAAAGTGTTTTACGGCGCTCGCAACTGCATACGGTCATATGAGCGCGCGGGACACACCTAATATTTTCAGTTGGTAGGAAATTTTGAATTTTGCCCGGGTGGCGGCCGAAGCCTACTCTTATCGATTTTAGACCACCAAGGGATCTTTAACGTGCGCAACTTGCACACGGGCCCTCCGAGATTTTTCGCCCTTGTCCGAGAAGGCTAGGTGTAGATCTTTCCTACCAGAAGATCAGGGGTGTGGCAGAAAGACAGCAGTAAGGAGGAGCCAAGGAGTAGCAGTAGAAAGGCTGCAGAAAGAGTCAGGAGCCCAGAGGAGGGGGCAAAGGAGGTGAGGGGGTGGGGGTAGGGGCAAAAAGTGGAAATGAAAGCAGACAACAGAACATTGCTAGAAAGCAGGAAAGGAGGTGAAAGGAGACCATTTTAGAGAAGAAAATTTTTCGGTCGCTACCCGGATTCGAACCCGGGACCTTTGAATGAGAGGCCAACACCTTAACCTCTAGGCCACGAGAGACCCCGTGCCACATTTGAGTTACTACAACATCATAGGCTTTCAAGAAGAGAGTGTGTGTTTTTGGCGCTCATATGACTTTATGCAGTGGCGAGCGCCGTAAAACCCTCTACTATAATAAAAATAATAATAGAGTGTGTGTTTGTATGTGTGTGTAGGTGGTTCCAAATAATCTTTTACCCTTTTACCCAATTCTAATACAGAACTCGTCAAATCTCGATCTCTGTTTACCTTGATTTTCTGTAATGAACTCTCGACCTATAATTTCATTTTTTGTTTGTTTTTGTTTTAGTCTTGCTTTTGCTTGAGTTTAATGTCCAACTAAACATACATCAAAGAATCACAGAAATCGTTGCACAGAAAAGTGGGAAGACATGGAATAACATCAAGAGGCTAGCCCAGGATAGAGAAAAGTGGAGGGTGTTTGTCCGTGGCCTATACCCTGGTGCAGGGTGAGAAAGGCAATGATGATGAAACATACACCAGGCTATCCTTTGAGACAAAAATAAAAAAAAGAGTAAAGAAAAAGAGAGAACCGAAGTAAATTCTACACAAGCTATCTTGTTATTGTGGATGTTTTACGTCCCAATCGACACCATTTAGACAAGTTGGGAGGCGGGCTGCTCGGTACAATCACAACCCACCCTCCCTCACCCCCTGAGCTGAGAGGGATACACCATACCGTCAAACAAGCGGAGATACCTATTTTTGAAACAAACAAACAAAACAAACAAACAAACAACAAGACCCCCAAAAAACAACAACAAACAAACAACAACAACAACAACACAACAAACAAACAAAACAAAAAACAACAAACAACTAAAATATTCCTCAAGCTGGAATCGAACTCAGGTCCTCTGAAAACGACGGCGAAGTGCCTAAACCTATACGTTCTTATACTAGATCTATCCCTCTGACCGTCTAGACCTAACCGTACAACGTCATAGACACCAGTACACCACACCTAGGCTACATCTGCTGACGTCATAGACACCAGTACACCACACCTTGGCTACACCTGCTAACGTCATAGACACCAGTACACCACACCTTGGCTACACCTGCTAACGTCATAGACACCAGTACACCACACCTAGGCTACACCTGCTAACGTCATAGACACCAGTACACCACACCTAGGCTACACCTGCTAACGTCATAGACACCAGTACACCACACCTAGGCTACACCTGCTAACGTCATAGACACCAGTACACCACACCAAGGCTACACCTGCATTATAATTACAGGAGCGTACACGTCCATGAACGCTATTCTGCCATTACAAGGATCGCCACTCATGTTGTTGTGCACCGAGTCCATGTTTTGTTCCCTCACAAAGCGGTGGGATAG